TGCTAACTTAGGGACGGCTAGCGCAGATAGCCCTCGCGTAGCCTTGCGCAAAAATTCCAAAACAAACATTTACTCTTATAGGGCCTGGTTGTTAGGATGTTCGGCTAATGTGCGTGTTGCGGGTTTGAATCCCGTCACCAAACATATTCGCCCTTTCAGTCACGATATGAATGTTAATCACACTTTTCGTTGGTAAAAGAATAGCCCAAAAGTTGGCGGTGGGTGGTGTTGATTAGCTGCCTTTCTTCTAGTCTGTCACTTCTAGATTAAAAACGACTATCACAGATAGCTCTCGTGTAGCTTTTCGCGAAATTCAACAAAACATAACAACAAAAAAAACAAATAAAATCACTCTTATGTATCATTGAGCCTTTTCATCCATGTGGTACATATCGTGTTGAAACGCTGCTGGTAGTTGAAGCTTTGAATTGTTAACCTTTATATCAAAAATATGTTTTCTGGCTGACTTGAGTTTTTCACAACGTTGGTTAATTCCATATTTCTCATATCATGTATTTCATATGTTCGCAAATATATTATATTGCATTTGCACTTATCGCATTTAATTAACGAAATCGTCTTTATTTATTTGACCAATGTTTGCCTTTCATGAATGCACTAATCATTCAGTTTTGTAGGAATATTTATAACATAAAATGAGAACCAATTATTTTGGCACCTGTTACAGAAAACCATTGTGAGTTCAATACCTTTCAATATGTCTTTAATAATATACTACATTTTACCTAGAAACTAACTGGCTTGTTTAAGGTCTAAGCCTTAGAATTCTTGCGACTACGCTGAAAGATTCTCATAAACGTGAATAATGTTTATCAAATTCATTTGCAACATCATCCAATTAAATTATTTAATGTAGTTCGTTTTTTTGCGATGTTAAGTAATGATACATTATCTGTTTACGAAGCATTACTTATATTTTTTCTGTATAATTTGATATACAGGTCTCTGCAAGACAACAAACTACAGAAAGTGCCGATTGAAGCTTTGCGTGAAGTTCCGAGTTTAGAAACTCTGTACGTAGAACTAAAGTAATGATATTGTACATAATAAGGTGTAAAATATGTGGAAATGTTGCACATAAATTGTGGAAAGTGTTACCAAACATAAAAGTTGGCCAGATTTTCAGCTTCTTTGGATCTTCGAAATATCTACTTTAGAAACAATGAATGAGTGTGGAGGAGAAAACAAAAAGGACCACGGATAACACATGATTATATTGTTTGTGATTTTTTTTATACCAAATACAGTTATCCACTCTGTAAAGTGCTATTTCAATACAAACAAAACCCACTACCGAGATTCATAATCAAACGTATAATTCAAAATTTTTAATTTGAGAATATATTTTTTTAATTTTTCGAAAAAAATACTCCAAATATGTCTCATGCTATGATGTTTTCTACCTGCAGTTTATTAAATACGATAATTTTTTTTAACATTACATTGTTTTATTGACATAGCTCATAAATCGTTTCTCATTTTTCACAAAAAATTTGCCCCCTCCCGGTGACTCGGCGGCAATTCTGGATGCTTATAACGCTAAAATTCGAGTTTTCATACCCATTATGTAGCTTTGCGCCTAACAACAAACTCAAAGAAGTCATCTTTTACCGGATTTTGAACACATTTAATTAACTATGTGGTAATTTCAACAGTATTCAAAACTATTACGTATATACCTTAATTTATTTACTCATATTTTTCTAAGTTTATTTGTTTTTTTGTTTTTTCAAGTACAAACTTTTAGCTCATATTTCCGCCATTTCATGACCGATTTGAGATCCACACGAATGGTGTGTTTGACCACGCCTAAGCTCTCAGATTAATTTACTCTAATCCTGCCTAAAAGAATTTCAGTTTGAGAGCAGGCTGGTAAAGGTCCTGATGAATAATAAAATCGAATACGCGCGCCCCACGCTTCGTATTGTTGGCGCAAAAACTATAGCTAATAAAAAGAAAAAAAAAGCCGCGGCTATTGAGGAGTCCCTCTTGTTAAATTAATAATAAACACAGTTAGTATGGCCTGTACTATTGGTTTTACTGTTTAACAGTTTTTTTAAATATAGTACAACAGTATTAATCCATTAATTTAGTTATTAAATTTGTTTTTATTAATAGCTTTAATTATCATATTTACCATTGCTGTTGCTTCTTTGTTTAAAAATTATTATTATTATCGCGATCTTCATCATTTTTAAAGTTTTAACTTTATTGCTTCTGGCTGCGTGCTCTTTATATTGACCACATTGTACAAAGGACAGGTGTGGTCTTAAAAGTCGGATTAGTTGGGCATAGTATTTGTATTTATGGTAATGACTAGCTGCCTTCCCTCTATTCTTACACTACTAAATTAGGGACGGCTAGCGCATATAGCCCTCGTGTAGCTTTGCGCAAAATTCAAAACAGACAAACAAACAAAGAAACTAGGGATGTCTGCCACCATCCCTAATTTTGAACTACTAATCAGTGAGAAGGCAGCAGCACCCATAATCCACGCTAAGGGATTGATAGTCACCCTTATAACGCATCAACCTTAAAGTTCAGAGAATATTTTTTGGTACTACACGCATTCGAACCCGGCTTTCCAGCTCCGAAATCCAGAGCTATACCACATGGCCAACCTGCGCCCGGTTGTGTAAAAACACAACTTACAGTATGTTTACTAATATCTTTTTCATTTTTTCGCACTTGTTGGTTTTAAACACAAAGGCTACACACTAGACTATTTTCGTTGTGATTACCCTGCGGAATCGAACCCCGAACTTTTAGCATTATAAGACCTTAAGCTTACTACTGAGCCAATCGAAGACTCTTTTTGTAACATGCCTCCCAGTAGCCCAGCGTTATGTCTGCGGACTTACAACGCTAGGATCCGGGTTAAGATACTCATGGTGGGCATAGCACAGGTAGCCCATTGTGTAGCTTTGTGCTTAATTACAAACAATCACAATAACAATTTTGTTACATTTTCATTGGTTGCTTGTAATTGGATTATTAATATGTTTACTATTTATCACATAATTTTGTTATTCATTTTATTTTTCTCTGTAAACGCTTAGCAAATTTTTACTGCACTATCTATAGCGTTCTGCTAAGCGACACTTTAGATAAAAAGCAACATGAGTCGCAGTCATCCGCCCCCGTGTGAGACAACGGTAAATTTACGGACATACGACTCTAAAATCAGGGGTTCGATTCTCCGTGGTGAACAGAGAGCAGATAATCAAATGTGGCTTTAAAAATAATCACGATCATTTATTTCAGATATTAGGCCAATCTTAAGCTACACTGTCAGAGCCGTTTAATGGACTTTCGCTAGTCAGTAGACGTTGTTAGAGAGGATCACATCAATATATATATTGTGTCAAACCGGTGTCACGTGTTTCAGAAGACAAGGAAATAATTGATTTGTTATGTTATGATTTCGAAAATCTACACGAGGGCTATCTGCGCTAGCCGTCCCTAGCATAGCAGTTTAAGAATAGAGTGAAGGCAGCTAGTCATCACCACCCGCCGCCAACTCTTGGGG